GTCCTACCTACTTGGAAGACTGAGGCAAAAGGATCACTTGAGCCCAGGAATTTGAGGTTGCAGTGAGCTATGATCGTGCCACTGCACTCCAGCCTGTGTGACAGAGAGACCCTGTCTTGGGGCGGGGAGCAACAATTTTAGTGGTAAGATGATAAATATTAATTTTGGGGTATAAATGGAACAAGCTTATAAATACAGCATGATTTTTCAGAAACCTATATCCTTAGATGGTTGATTAAGCACATTAAAAAAATTGCTCATTAAAGTTGTAAAACAATTTAAGTATTCTCTGCTCCCCAGAAGTTTATAACACATCTAAAAGAATTAAAAAATGCAAAGTAGTACACTAGGGTTTCAGAAAAGAAAGAGAAGAGTGGGCAGACAGATGGAATTTAAACAGGTTTTTTAAGGTAAACAGTATTTGGGCAAAAAAGTGAAAACAATGCCATTTCAAGGGATAAGAACTGTTAAAACCAATTCACAATGGCAGAAGTAACAAGACTTTGTAGAGTGAAGTAAAGGAACCACAGAACCTTCAATTTTTGGACTGAGACCTTGAGGATTACCACATTTGATTCTCAGTTCCAGATAAAGAGAATGAAGCTCAGAAAGGTCAAATTCCAAGGTCATAGGCACTTCCAGGCAGAGTTAAAATTAGAGGTCAGTTTGTTCCTTAGAGTGTGGTGCCTGGACCAGGAGCACCATTCATTATTCTGGGAGTGAGACAGAAGTGCGTGACTTGACCCAAACCTACTAAATCAGAACGTAAGTTTTAACAAGATTACCTGGTGATTTGTATGCACATTAAAATTTGAGAAGTACTAGACTAGACCAGCTCTGTCCAGTACAAGCCAAATACGTAATTTTAAATTCCTTAGTACTCACATTAAAATAAGTAAAAAGAAACATGTAAGATTTTAATAATATTTTTCTTTTTGGTCGGGCGTGGTGGCTCACGCCTGTAATCCTAGCACTCTGGGAGGCCGAGGCAGGTAGACTGTTTGAGCTCAGGAGTTCAAGATCAGCCTGAGCAAGAGCGAGACCCCATCTCTACTAAAAATAGAAAGAAATTAGCTGGACAACTAAAAATATACAGAGAAAAAATTAGCCAGGCATGGTGGCACATGCCTGTAGTCCCAGCTACTCGGGAGGCTGAGGCACGAGGATCGCTTGAGC